GTGCACGATGGTGAAATAATAATAGTGATAATAATGAGAGAAACAGTTTAGTTAGCAAAAATACAATCAGAAAGAATTCTTTCAGTTAAACAAGTTGCGCTCACTTTTATGAAGTAAAAGAAAGTCACAGAAAGATCGCCACTGCCTCCTATTCTGTGTCATGCCTGATAACGTCTCTAGGCACACTGTTGCACAATCCCTAACCAGAAGATCGTAAAGGACCAATATGAGCCAGTTTTCTTCAACCTTCTATTATAACACGACACCATGTCATACACTGACCACCTCTTCGCTTTCTCCAACCGGTCCTGGAGTCGGCAAATAATGCACAAAGTGGAACTCTTTGGAACGTATTGTCATCGCCTTGTTCAAACACGCGATGCCGGACCTCTGCATTACTAATACGGTGTTGCCACTGGATGTCAGCAGTCCTTCGAAGACAACGATGATCAAACACAGAGAGTCGTCTAACATCCTCAACTCGGAGAGGCCAGGTTTCACAAGCATAGAGCAAAACTACTCCCACCGACGCGTTGTTGATCCGACCTTTTACAGCCAAACTAACATCACGAAGGCGCCAAAGGTGGACCAGATTGGTATAAGCCGCTCTGGCTTTCGTTATACGTGCATTGATCTCATCACTCACACCACCACAAGCACTAACTCAGCTACCCCGATACACGAGGGTCCTACCATTATCTGACCTGTGATCAACAAGTCCCTACATGCCACCTAAACGACCCTCTTCTGTGGCTAGACGCCCTACCCGAGCATTCAAGTCTCCGGTTAGTACTACCGTACCTGTTGTCCGGTCTGCATTAGTGTGCGAACGTTGATGGAGGCCAGTTTGAATGGCATAAGTAGTTTCAGGAAGACTGGTTTAGTATTCATAGTCGGTGGTGGTATTCAACTTTCGACCTGTCGGTGACTTGTGATCTTTTAGATAAGACAGGCTTTCCGCCATAGGCAAGTTGCCGAATAGGTTGAAAAATGAAATACTCAAAATGAGAATAAAGGGTATTAGATAAGTGACGTGGTATAAAAGAGATGAAAACGAATGTTACCAAACGATTATGAATGTAATTTGTTTGAATGAGAGCTGAAGCAAGAATAATTTTTCCGGTAATAATCATCACTTGATTTGTGAGTGGGCTGGGACACTACCAGGGTGCCCAAACCAAAGAAGGTCTATCGAGTGACAGAAGTTTTCTTGCATAGTCCAGTTCAACTTTACTCTTTATCGACTGGATAAGTGAGATAAAAATATGTTATGATTCAGAGTTTCATAAACTGACTAACGAATTTTCAATTATTAAAATGTGAGAAAAAAGAATGCTGATTGGTTAATGATATGAAATGACATTATTTAGCCGAGTGATAACTGTTCATGTGACCGAATTATTGACGCAAGTCTCCAACTGAAGTGATATCAAAGAAAAATTAGCAGCCAGATCAAAATGTTCTTCAAGATTTAATAAAATAATACACTCAAATGCAAAATACTGAACACAAGAATAAGAATGAATGGAAGTCATTTGACAAATAAACGATAAGAGGATATGTCAATTATAGGTCATTTATTCTGCAGTATAATTAACGCATAACTATTAGTTCTAATTCTTATCCTATTTTATCACATGTCAGGGTTGACTGATTACAATTTTGAGTGTAATGTTTGTTTTCATTCATACTATAGTAAGTAATACATAAGTCAGTGGTCTTGAGTGTTGTTAGAGGCATGGGGGCGGTTATCACTCCCCGGCTGCCCACACCGTGGAAGGGTTCTTCTGGAAGTGCCTGAAAAGGAAATTGGATTAGGGTTGGTTTTAGTGACCTGAGAACGTGACCGCAGTGCCCAAGGGACAACTGCTTGAGGTCGGTCACACACGACCTTTTTGTGGGTAATTTTTGTGTTAGCTCCGTACTTGTTGAGACCTTACCGCCGGAGACAGATATCCGTGGGATAAGGCGAGGTGTGCATTTTTAGGGTCGACCTTTTCTAACCCCACCCCTCCTTGTGGGAAGGCAGCATCGCTGTCATGCTGGTTGTCTGAAAGAAACACCTTACTGCTGTCACACCTCTATATAGTCAACAGTACGACTTCGCCTTTGGACTTTGGGTTTGTTGCTCTTAGTCTTACCGCTCTTCAACTGACCTGTCTGACATGGTAGAACCTTGAGGAACGGTTGTTCCGGCCAGTATAGCTCGGTTGCTTCATCACGATAGGCATGTCCGACCACCACGACAAGGTAGCAACAACGGTCAGGAAGTGATACATAGAAAGTTCAATATTGTTTATTTAGCAAGTTTCATGAAAAAAATTTCACCTTTTTATCCTTTAATGTAGATTATCGTATTGATTGGACCTATTCAGGTTATCTTAATTACATTCACTTTTAAATCAATCTAAAATTATTCTCTGTGTTTATTAGAAATTGTTTGACTGTTTTTTTTTCTTTTCTTGTTCAGAACTTTCAATATTATTCATTCACATTCCCTTTAAAATACATTCAAACTTAGGGTCATCAAATCTCACAATCAAAATGATACCTTAAAATCATTGATTTGAAATCGATTGATTTATTGAATTAACTTCTGACAATTTACAAGATCTTACGACTATAATATTGGCAATATCAATATCACTCATAACTTAACTCAATTGGTAACATTTATTATTGATTTTTCAGAGGCATATTCATAATGAAAACTTATGTCAGGATAGGATATAGTTTACACAATATATAGATCATAATAAAGCTTATTAACTATAAAATGTCACATTATATTTGACAAAGCAAATGGTTATTATTAATAGTATGAACTTGAATTGACAAATAAAAACAATTAAAAGTCATATGATTAAATTTAAAATTGATTTTAGATAATTTAAGATAGTTGATACATTGACAAATTTAACTGGGTAAAATGAGACTTGGAATCATTGTGATAAATAAAATCCAATTCTTACATCACTATTTTATATTTATACAGTATTCCCTTTTCTTTTCTCAGTTTTAATGAAAAGAAATCCAGGTCACATGACAGTGAATATCAACTTTTTTTCTTATAAGCTGAGATGATCAAAAATCAAAACTAGTCAAATGGGATTATGTTCAATTTACCAGATTCTGGCTAATGTTTCAGGCGATTTAGCTACTAAAACTGGACCATCATATATAAAGAGCTCGGAGATTAATCTATCAGGATTAATTGGTTTATCTCACTTTAGATAACTTGTGGTTTCTTAGACTTTGTTAAGAAACGCAGGCTTATATTTATTTTTCATTTGGATTACTTGGGCATGTTCGAAGTAACTGTGAAAGACGGCTCAGCTTACTTTCCTTCTTTTTGTTGACATTTTTTGTGACAGAGTGATCACAGATTACAAGGTAACCACGATTCCATAGAAAGCGAAAGTGTAAATGAACCTTTGTGAAATCATGACTTGACTCAGTTGAGTCATGACTTCCCAAAATAACTCCGAGAATCAGCGTTGGAAATCAATTAGTGAGAACATGATAACTTTCAGGACATGAATTTCAGATGGGCGAATTCTTTTCAGAAAATTTAAATCGGTACTAAAATCATTAGTTTAAATTAAACAGTGAAATATAAAGCTTCTAAACAATGGATCTGAGATTGTTTCTTAAGAGTATCTACGTTGTCAGTATGAATTTCAATTCAGTCAGCTAAATAAAGGAAGTGTCTAGAATTTTTAGATAACTAGGCACTTGAAGACAAATAGCCGTCACAACCAGAATGTAACTTCAAATCTCGAGCAAAATCTTAACAAGTGGAGCCCAACCCTGTCGTATGTGAGGCATCGAAAACACTGAAAAGTAGTTGGGGGGTGTTGTGAATCGATTGAAGTTAGACATGTAAACCAGTAGGTGCCGATTCAGTAGTCTAAAGGTTAGGCCCTAAGAGCAAAACATGAAAGTCCTGGGTTCAGTCCCCAGTGGAGTCTTGGATAACCGTTACTGGGGCGTTGCAGACTAGGACGAAGTAGATATCGATCGCTTCCAATGGTTATCCAAATTAGGTCGGCTTGTGATCAGAATAACATACATTGATCCCCACAAACCTATACATTATTGATGAATTACTGAACATCATTAACATTGTTCACCAATTGCTATTTTTGGTAAGTCATATCGACCATACCTATGATATAAATTAGCTTGTTTTATGTATATTTCATTATTTTGGACGACAGTAAAATCAATACGAATCGCTTAGACAATGACCAATGTGAAATCTGCTCTTATGTACGTTTATTTCTGTTCATGGCATTTAAAGAAACATGCTTTTGCATGCTTGCGCACACCATATACAAAATTGATATTGTGAACAACAGGCTAAAAAGTTTGTAACTCAATTATATAAGTAATTTAATGCAAGCATGATCACTAAAATATACTATCAAAATAAGCCTTTATCCGATGAGCAGAAATAACAATATTACAGCTAAAATTGGAAACAATAATCACCTTATGGATTATTTTTTTAAAAAGAGCTATTTGAATTTAACTTGCTGATTTCACAAATTAATAAGTATGAAAAACTTAGAAGAATACCTGTCACTCATGCAAAACAAGAACCCTTTAGTATCCAAAATGTTATCCATCTAGTACCAACATAAGTTTGTTAAGTAGATCACAATGCGTAGATATGCTCACCATTTACATCCATGCTTATTGAAAAGATGTAAAACCAATAAAGGATCTAAAACCGACTGAACGACGATACGATTATTGAAACGATAAATAAACAATCACTACAATGACTTAACTACCAAACGTTTTAAATTCATTGTTACAATGCTATACGAGGTCTCTCTAACTAATTATTTACGAAAAATTATTTTAGCAAAGTGATAACACATTAGATAAGCGTGGAACGTAAAAAGACAAATACCTCTTGAAATAACATTCAAAATAATGAAGTGTTGGCAATGTTGCCTATTCATTTGTTAGAAGAAAGAAGAAACAACTCTCCAACGATAAATGTGTAATAAATAAATAAGTGAAGGTATTTGCAGTTACATAGGTGTTTCGATTATTATTATCGATATCAATCAGTACACAATTTATTGACAAACAACAAGAAAAAACGGAAAACATGATTAAGGAATAAAATAAAAATGAGATTTGAACAGATGAACAAGCAAATGGAGAGATTGTTTTTAGAAAAAAAACGAGAGAATACAAAACAGTTTCCAAGATCAAATACAAAATGAACAGAAAGAAATTCGAAAAAACATATGAGTTGTGTTGTAGAAGCAATCCATATTGAAAGAAAGAGCTTGTAAAATATTCAATCTTTAGAAAATATTATTAACCATCAATCAATTTACCCGATAAGAAATAGATTTGTGCTTTTATGCATTGTACCGCGGAAAAAGTATCACATAGTAGCTTTATAAAAGAAATAAACGGTGCGAGGAAATTATCGTTAGAATATATATAGCTATTAAGAAAGAACATACTTAAACAAAATTATATAACCTCATAATTCGTCTTAATATTGAAAAGAAGAGGAAACCTGCATAAAGGAAGGAATGCTTTTTTTCCCATTATTGACTTAATTTAAAGTGAAAAGAGTTACATCTTTTTACAACCGCATACAGAAGATCACAAAAATACATACACAGTAATATTTGCTCCGTTTAAGACATCTGTACAAAATTTAGTGTTTGCACATAACTTATGGCCAACACAGAAAATCATGCTTATGTTATTGAATTACATCAAGTAGAATGGTAAAGAGAGAAGCAAGATAAAAATAATGTCTTTCTTAAATAAACTAAATAATGACAACATCGAACGAAATAGGTAGACGGCCACGTTATGTCAACTTAACAACATCAATGATCCAATATAGTGTGAAACACAAATACATTGACGAACACACATACACACATAGAGGGTGAGAAGAGCGTCAGTGATAAAATATAAAGCACATTATTGGTCAGAAAATTAAAAAAAGGTGATCAAATGTACAAATTAAACTATTCTCATAAAGAAAGATATTAACTAGTAAAAGTGACTTTATCAGTGAACAACATATATGCATAGTGTCTGAAACCCGATAATTTTTAAAATATGTATAAATTCACTTGAACTGCAAAGAAAAAGCCAATAATAATTATTGAAAATGACGATTATGAATTACTATGATGATAATGATGATGCTAATTATGAAAAATGACTTTTATTCTGGAACAAAATAAAATGAAAAATCGTGATCACGGGAAAGATAAATTCCTATAATGTAGCAGGATTTTCTTTATTGTGTTTATTTTTGTTTCATATATGAATTCTGTTTTTAACAAGCACACCCACTTTGACGAGTTCCATCATTAGTTGAAGCTGAATTGCCAAGTTCTACACTATTCCGTCCAGTACCTGGCGTTAATGAACCTTTACTTATTACACCTCCATCAACACTGTTTAGATATACACTAGAAAAGATAAAATAAAATATTGGACACTGAAATACAAACTGTATTCTGAGCAAAAATGTTACTTTAAAAAGACAAGACTAGTTATGCAGTGAAAATAATTAGAAACTTCACAACTGCTTATCATTATTTACAAGGATTAGGCAGTAGCAGTGAATATTTTCTTTATGAATATAACCTTTTATGACCGGCTTCTATGTTAATTTTTTTTCATTAAAAAGTATTTTAAGGTATATATATATATATATATATATATATATATATATATATATATATATATATATATATATATATATATATATATATATATATATATATATATATAGAAACCAATAAACAGTTTGAGACTGAGCTGAACATTTGACTAACATAGAGCAAAGTAGTTGCTATTAGTTGATTGGAAGCCAGAAAAATCATATATGTTATAAAAAGACGAAATAAATAAATGGTGTAGATTGATTTGTCTCACAAGACTTTTAACACCACTAGTGAGATAGAATTAAGAGCTTGTGAATTAGAGTTATATTTTCAACCACAAAATATGCGTATTAAAACAACAGATTATTAAATTATTTCTAGTGAGCTGTCTTACTGACCACCATACGGTAAGATATTTTATACAGGTTTATCTAAATGGGACCATATTAGTGAAAATTAGAAATGGCCACGACGAAATTTATTGGTAAGCATGACATCTGGTAGATGTGGTGTTATGAACAAAACAGATTAGGTGTATAATTTTGAAGTAGTTTACCATTACATTTTCAAATGTTTAAAGATCCTCATCATATTAAAAGACTAATAAATGAACAAAGAGTATTCTTTTCGATGAATTCTCTTCAGGTTTTATAATTTCATATCCAAATTAATCCGAAAAATGTCTAGATTTAGGGCAAAGTGCATCGTTTAAAGTCATAGCATATGAATTTCGGTTTCTTAAACAAAATAAAACTGTTAAAGTTAAGATTACTCGTATACAATGTTAACTTGAATCAGTTTCTACGTCAGATGCAATTTTAAGATCCATGATCTGAATTAATATAGATCAAATAGGGTAAGAAAAATAATAATGTAATTACAAATTCGATCAAATGTTTAGTAGAAGACTATATTGTGTAGAAAATTAGTAAGATATAATAAAGTGATACGGATGTAAAGTGAATGAATTATGTATTCGAGCGATTATTATTGATCTTAAACTAATAAAATAATAACAATAATACAACAATATGTGAATAGTGGTGACAGAAATAATTATATTTAACTACGAAAAGTTGTAAGTACAATAGTTAAATTTGGTCATTTAATAGCTAAGATTACTATTGATTGGCTTTGAGGTTGGCCAGGAGAAGACATTTCTTTTGTGCACATAGCTCCAGTTTCTTAATCCGGATGGCTACTGCTTCAGCCGTTTGACAGACTTTGAGTTTGACAGGGTTTGGCGGGAAATTACTGACCCGACAAATAATTGAAAAGGATTGGTTTCTACTGGCACTATGACCAATTTGCATTAAATCGGTCAATATTGAGTTGTTCATTTTCTTCACTAGATCTTTGCATAAACACGTTGAGAGGTGTTCGCGAGCACGAAAATGTAAATTCCTAGAACTTCTACCAATTTAACAGTTGTTGACTTTCATGTCACTAAATTTGTTAGATGTTTCAGCAAAAATTTATGTCACGATTAAATCAGATATATTCCAAACAATGGACTGTAGGTTTAAATACCAGTTTCAATACTTAACGTGAACAGGTAACCATACTTATTATCAAACAAAACATGTGAATCAAAGTGGAGTACATAAGTATGTATTTGGTCGTATAGTTACTATGAAGTTAAATTTTTTAAGAAAAAAACAAGGAACCCGGTTTTCAGTTAGAATACATGTATTAGTGCTTTTTATTAGCGATTTTGTTAATTACACTGACAAGATTTCAAAGATTACAACAAAGTGGGCTTATAAAAATGCGAGAATAACGTTATTGCTGTAAAATCTACAAGTAGGTTTGATTTTGTTTTAGGTTTTCTAGTTGTATAGGACTATAACTAATTTTGACTGACAAGTATGATAAGCAAACAAAATGAACGCCTTAAAACGATATCAAAACGTCTTATTTAAGTTGCATCACTGTGCCAGTTTTTCCATTAGATAGGTTTTCCATAATATGTGTCTCTTGAGCATTGCTTAGGTCTCATAAAACCGACTGAGCAATGTTGCGGTTAGGTAGAAATAGCAAATCGGTTGATTAAGTTACGAGCCTTCACCGATTGAAGTGATCAAGATGTGTCACATGCGGTCGATCACCGCCAACCTTAGCAATTAAGTAGTGCTGGGATACAAGTAGGATTGGCCAGACAAAAACTCGCTATCAGTCCATGAAATCCTTGACTGATGATCTGAGTTTTGCTGGTAGATGCACAATAATCGTGGTTAGAGAGTGAGTGACATGGTTCAGAATCGGTCGCGATGGCACAGGTACACTCACTTTATCATTCTCGTAATATTAAATAATGTTTTTAATGCATAGCTTTCTACTGTTTTCTAGATCCATATTCTTAGGGTTCATTCTTTTCTATTGTCACGAATACCATACTTCAATTTCCTTTGTTATACATCCTGTTATTTTCATCTCGTCGTGTCAATGTAGTATGGCAACTTGGGTCAATGCACATATGTACCAAGCTCTACGTTGATAATGACTGACTTCAATCGCATACTACAGATGAACTAGATTTTAGGAAATACAGATTTCAAACATTCTCAATTCTTAACTACCGAAAACCTCCACACTTTGACTAAAATCCCCTACAGTTCCTAAAACATATTTAGGAGTTGAACATAAAAATGGAGCCAAATGAAATAAAAATCATTTAACTCCGCTACTTACCTTCCATCCTGAACGTTCTGGAATATTTTTCGAGCTGTTTCAGTGAATACATTTTCTACGTTAGCACCACTGTAAGTAAATAAGAGAAGTAATCATAGATTTTCGACTTTTTATATGAACTTTTAAAGCCGCATACGTGTTGTGGCCAAATAAATTTTAAAAGTTTAACATGGTCAACAGATTAATTTGAGCATACAGGTGAGTGGGGAACTTAATAATAACCAAGTGGTTTGAGTAGTTGCGTAATATTGGTGAAGTGACTGAATAATAGCATGAGAACAACATAATAGTCAATATCTCATAGAAACCACGAACTGTAGTACGGCCGAGAATGAGGAGAATTAGCTCGCCCTCTCGAAATGCTCTCACATGGCCATGAGTATACAGCAATTACCAGGGACGTTCTTACTGCCTTCTCGAAGCATTACTGTTGTATACGAAATTAACAGGATGAAAAGCGAATGTCCGGAGCTTTATTCGGGTTGGTGGATATGGAGAATCCATCTATGGGAGTTGGAAAACTCTAATTCAAAACCAATTATGCACATGGGCTCCGGGATCCTGAGGAGACAAATGGCGTATGGACCAATTATTCGTTACTAGCTACAGTAGAACTGCATCTCCTGACGTTGCTCCGCTGTCTTGTGGATCAGACCTTTACGTCGAAGGATACGGGCGTGGCCCCCTAAGAAAACCACTTGTTTCGGTCTGGGCACCCGGGCAGTATCACAGTTTACACACAAATTAGGTGACTTGTGTGGTGCATATGTATTTGGTGCCAATATTTGTGTTTAAATAAATAAATAGATGGTTATTCTGTTCAAAAGTCATTCAATATTTTTCTATACAAGTCAATTATGCTGTCTGTATCACACCAAAACATTCAAAAAACGCAAATGAAGTATAAGTAAACTCATTTTTGCTTTACAGTTGTTTAACATAGTTTTTTAAGGTTTATTTTATACTTATTTATTTTAACACATAGATTTTGGTACAAGGAGGCACTAAATACATATGCGCCACATAAGTCACTTGATTTGTGTGTGGACTGTGATATTGCTAGAGTGCCAAGACCGAGACAGGTGGTTTTCTTAGGGGGCCACGCCCAGAGCCTTCAACCTTTGGGTCTGACTCACAAGACAGTGGAGCAATGTCAGGAGATGCAGTCCCATCGTAGCCAGTGACCAACGATTGGTTCATACACCATTTGTTCCTTCAGGATACTGGAGCCCATGTGTACCATTGGTTTGGAATCAGGGTTTTCCAACTCCCCTAGGTGGACTCACCATGTTAAAGCGCCGGACATCCACTTTTCGTCCTCTCATTTTCGTAAAAAACACTCCTGCCACGAGAAAACAGTGAGTAGAACTTCCCTGGTAGGGACTATACATGCGTGCCCATATGAGAGCACTTTTCGAGGGAGAGCGGACTCTCCCCACTCTCGGCCGTACCAGGATTTGAGTGCATTCTTGAAGGTGACCAACAAAAGGAGAAACCTATTCGATCACCAATTAATGTATGGCACACACAATAAAAAGGTTCTGGAAACGTTTAAAGTAATAGAAACCAAAGTGAAAGCACATCGCCGTAGTATACCTGTGTGTTTAAACGAGGTATAATCATTTCAAATCTGACATTGCACTTACTAATATTAGAACATGCCATGAAGTGGGATGATTGGTTTGTAACGGATACGATGAACAGTATTCGTGTGAGGGCACCAATATTGGTGTATTAAGACCTTAAAGACAGCGGTATTTGTCAATATCAGAGATAAAATCAGAGGAACGAGAATACTGTGAAACGAAGATATGGATCTGGAAAAGAAAGTAAATGAGTGGTGCCCAACCACCGACTACCTCGACGTGCTATATTCAGTGGTATAGGAGTAGGTTGGAAGAAAGCTAGGGGCGGCCAGACCAAAACATGGCAAAAATCCATGAAGTCACTGACAAGTGGACTGAGTCATGTTGGTAGGTGTAGACTACCTGGTTGGGGACCGCGAGATGATAGCAACCGATGGTTAGAGACCCTGAATGACATGGCTCAAAATCGTTTGCAATGGCGCAGGTGCATCCACTCTCTATGTTCTCCCAAATTCTAGTTATCTGAATTCTTCATGCCCCTTTTTTTACTCTTTCCAAATTTATTTCACTGGATTATACTCGTTAAATAACATCTCCAAACCCTAATCTTCCCGATTACTGCTTATACTCTTGCTACCTCTACCACTACGGGATTTGAATCGACCACTGCATCTCTGTGCTAATGTGGTATGGCAACTCGAACTGATGTACGTACGTACTAAGTTCTACGTTGTTACTGACTGACTGACTGAGGATTTAGTTGATGGATGTCGAATGCCCCTGTAACACCGTGGCTCGGAATTAAAGCTAGCTATATAAGAATGCGATGAAAACCTCTTCGGATTTATCTCTATGAAAATTACTATCGTAATGTTTATTTGTAAAACGTCTCTTTAGATTCTTACTGCAGCAAAATTTTAGATGTTGAAAAAAGCTATCGTTACTGTCAAAGGTTTTGGGACTAATATGAATACCATTAATATTCCAGTGAATGAAGAACAGCCGGAAGAGTAACAAAATCTAACTCAACTATCATTCAGAGATATTAAGACTTAGTATCACAGGCATTTATAAAGTGAATATCTACTCTAGTTCTTTCCACCTCTACTTTCGGTAACCATAGCCGGTTCTAGGAAGGATTCTATTTTCGGTCTAATCTTTCCTATTACCACAAGTTTTGATACTACTTCTAATACTCCTGAATTTCCTGTTAGTTTCATTTTACAATGCCAATGGGGTGTGGCAAGTTTGTCCAATGTATACATCTGCTAGGTTTTACGTTGCGGATGACTGACCGGCTGAATTATCTATCACACTAATTCTTATTAAAAAATCACCAAAAAGCACTTCATAAGGTAAAATGACTATATTGAAGCGAATTCCTGAAATCAACAGATAAACAAACAGCAATACTACTCATTAGAATACAGTCAAGAACAAAAAATCAATGTATCATTGAGCAAAAGCAAGACAAGCTAGCGGGAATTCGACATTTAAGTGATTTCGTTTACTAGAGTTGTAGGAGCATATTATAATTATTTTTAAAGATTTTGTAACAAATACAGAGGTATTACGTTACTAACAAAGCTATCAAGTAGTACATAAAGATCAGGTGATAGTCAAGAAGTAATGAGGAGCAGTACAGTGAAGATAATTTATGGATGTGGAAAAATTATCCACATGACTAGGCGAGTGGTTATTAATAACAAATACAAGAAATACTAGGGAGACGGTGAAATTAGGGACTGAATGTGTCACTCTTGAACACAGATAAGATTGTAAGCGATGATTTACTAAAACCTTTAGCTTACACAAACTTCTGATTCGAACTTTCTTTGAGCCAGTTCGCTCGACTATGTGGATAATGTTGAATGGTGATTCTAATGAGGGGGGGGGCACGACCATCTTTTGAAAGATACAGCTGATAACTGGTTTATATTTCCCTTTAGATAATCATGAATGGTAGCGTACGGATAGCTGTTTGGAAAGGGTATTCTTCGGGGCCAATGTAACTTCCACACGAGAGCAAGTAAACTACCAGATACATAGTGAAGTAGCCGGAATTGAGTTTATCCTTGACAGATTCTCAAATCAGGCACCTATAGGAGATTTGAACCTAGGCTTATTAGGATGTCTTTTAAAGAGATCATAACATTCCGTTTTTCAGGATCTCTGCAGCTCTATACCTTTTGAATCCGATGTTCATGAATCATATATTCGTTGCCGGTATTTTTCTATCTGGTTACGAGAGAATTCGTTTATTAGTTGCGGATTATACTCAATTTATGGTCAGTTGTGTTGCTTGTGCATATTTGTCGGACTCTTAATGATAGAAAATATATTGGATTCCCTCGTCTGTTCAGTGGAACCTAGCTTCGGAAGTTTATGCACTACTTGTTCTACATCGGATTTCTAAATTCTACTCTTTATAGACCAGTCTAACCCTTTGGGCAGGTTATGAAGGGAAATAAATTTTGAGTTTACCTGCAATTATGTTGTGAACGTAGTTGATGGGTGACTATAACTGAACTTGTTAAGATTGATAATGATTAGGTGCAAGTTTGATAGCCCCCGAATGCCCTGGTACGGCCGAGAGTGGGGAGAGTCCGCTCTCCCTCTCGAAATACTCTCACACGGCCACGCGTATATAGCCTCTGCCAGGGAAGTCCTACTCACTGCCTTCTCGTGGCGGGGGTGTTGTTTACGAAAATGAGAGGACGAAAAGCGAATGTCCGGTGCTTTAACCGGATTCCAAACCAATGGTGCACATGGGCTCCAGTATCCTGCGGGAACAAATGGCGTATGAACCAATTGTTGGTCACCGGCTTCCATGGGACTGCACCTCCTTACGATGCTCCACTACCTTGTGGATCAGACCTTCAGGTCGAAGGCTCGGGGTGTGGCCCCCTAAGAAAACCACCTGCTTTGGTCTGGGCACCCGGGCAGTATCACAGCCCTCACACATATCGAATGAGATTTGTGTGGCGCATATGTATTTGGTGCCTCTTTGTACCAATATCTATGTGTTGAAATAAATAACAATATATAAATAATATCGTGTAAAAATACGATGACTTCCGTGTACTTGATGTCGAAGTCATTATTTAGGTAATCAATTCACATCGCTAACATGTACTTCCTTTGAAGCTATTTCCAGAAAGTTATCAGTGTTAAAATGGGAGAGAAATGGCGGGATGGGGAAACTAATCTAAACTAATTAATCAGTTGGATTGGAACAGTGAAGAGAAATAGTCGGATAACCTAACTCTTACTGGGGTGTTTGTACGGACCTTTCAAGATATTATTAGATATCTTCGGTGAATTTGTTTTCAGCGGTAATCCGAAGCGGTTTCATCCATTAAGTCGGAAATGGCCTTGATATCAAGAAATATGATTGTCAGACTGCAGAAATGTGGCAATATTTAAGCAGTTGGAGGGGAATAATAACGTGATCGATACATCCAAGACCCGAACACAAATCAGCTTGTCCGTCTAAACAACATTGATGAGGAAGTGAACCAATGAAATCGTCCTCCACTTGGCGTTTGAAGTATTAAAAATCGGTTGAAACTATAATTTGGGTACAACCTTTGAGCGACGCCAAAGTGACCTCGAGAGTGTCTACCTAATTACCAGGGCTAAATGAAGGTTATAAAGCAGTTCGGAGAACAAAGCTTATGATCCACATTTGGTTAGGGATTAGGTTTACGGATTTTCATCAAGAACTGACATAAGATGGAATGTCAAGACGCCACCTGGCCAAATGCGTGAATGAATTTTGCGCCAAAATCCATGACGTGGTGTCCTAAATCTGATTGCTTCGTTCATAAATTATAATCTCGCCTAAAATCCTGTACCAATGAAACCACAGATTTGTCCAGTGATGGCAGGCTTCAGGTCTACGCAAAAACCCAAGGTGTTTAATAAATAATGCAGAAGCATTAATCGAATATATCTCGGAGAAACAGATGAGCTCATAAAACAAAATGGGAAACGGACAAACTTCAGGTTTTAATGTTATACGGAAATAGAGGAAATCGGAAGAAAAACATCAAAACAGACGCGAGAGGAGAGGGGAATCGAACTAATAATGTGCTGATCAAAGTCTAAGGGAATACATCGGTATAACTGGTAAGTTCCAGGCCATCTCATATTATCCCGAACTAGTGATATCAGTCATATTAGGGACGTCACTTAAGTGCATCCTGACGTAATTAGAATCGAATTCGCCATTTTCTGAGCGCTTGAAATCCCCTTATCAATTCTTGTGTTTTGTGAACATTTATGAACGAATTGGCATGGAATTAATTAACGATTTTAACAGCTGCTGAAAAACTACTTGATGACTTCGTCCCACTGGTTCATTATCAAGTAGAAGCCATGTAACCAGCCCGAAGTATTTGCTGCCTAGCTTGTAAGTATATTGAAACATTTCAAAACTAAATCAGAAAGACTTACGATTTAGCGCTACACTCTAGAAACAAAAGACCATTTTCATCTGCCAGTTGTTTAGCCTCTTCATAAGTAACATCACGTTGCTCTTCGAGGTCAGCCTTATTGCCAATAAGAAAGATAACGGTATTAGGGGAAGTCAGTCGCCTAGCATCTGTTAACCACGTTTGAATCCGGTTGAACGTTGGCTTTCGTGTGATGTCGTAAACTAGTAAAGCCCCGGAAGCTCCTCGATAGTACGACCGTGTTACTGCCCTGAAACGTTCTTGGCCAGCTGTATCCCATATCTGGATCTTAACTTTCTGGTCGTTTACTTCAATGATTTTTGTGGAGAACTCAACACCAATAGTATGTGGGCAATCCGGAATAACTAGATGACAACAGCGTGAGAAGAAGCGTTATCTTACACTTTTTTTCAGTGAACTGATGCATTAAACAACTTTTTCCTACCCCCATATCACCAACAATTATATATTTAAATATATATGAATAGTTGTAGCCGCCTCCGATAGACATTTTTGCGCAGAAATCGTACACAGCGGATTATATGCAACGCACATGAGCGGGCTGTTGATAAGTAAAAACAAATTCAATATCAAATTGTTTAAAAACATCAAAACCCAACTAAAAGAAGCCTTTAAGCAGTGAGATTTCTCTTCTCGATGCGATTTATCATCAGTACTTTCAGGATAGTTCGGGTTATTTTAGAGCGTTCAGACAGAAATCTTAAGAAACTAAAAGTTAACTATTTCTGTTCAACAAAAAACTGAAGCGCAACGGGAAGAATATTTTTTCAGAAAGCATAATTTTTAAGATAACAGTGATGTTGGTTTGTTGGAAATTACAGATCACTTGGAATACCCCAAACAGCAGTCGACCTGAAATATTGACTTGGTCAAGCATCCTCAATAGACCACCGCTTGGTACTCCGTGCGACGAGTCTCTTGCTACAATTAGTTAGCTTAGATCAAACAATTCACGGCAAATAGATTGTCTTCCAAATATATCGAGTTTTTTCACTCTGGACTTCAGATTTGACTAGATTTTGGATCCGCGATTATAAAATTGCTGTCAACAACCGCGTTGACAAGCCCCGAATGTCTGTAAATCACTTATAGTAAACCATGGCAAGAGTGACATAACAGTCAATTTTTAAATTTCTGTCTTCCTTTGTAGTAGACAATCAAATATATACGATTAAAGAGATGAATTCCATTTTCTTTACCTGTGAAAGTCAGTGCGTGCCCTATGTATAATTCTTCACTGCTCCATCCAGACGATGGTAAGCTTTTAGAATAAACCCTAAAACATAGAAGAAACAGAACATATTCACGCAAAACCGGAACACTTTATTCTGACTTTAAATATGCAGTCCTCTTAATTACTTATAAAAAGGTTAGGATGTCTCATAACACGTAAGAAACAACAATGTTTAACAACTCGGTGACCCACCTAATGTTTTTAGATATTACCCGAGTCAAACGACCTTATACACCTGTTGAAACCCCACTTAGAAACAAGCACCTCACTTACTTCTAACTCTCATCTTTAATAGCAAACGTTATATAGTCTTCAAATGTTAATGAAGATATTCATGTTCTTTTTACACTATCCTCTACATAGTATGAAAATATGTGTAACAGTCCATCTTCATCACTAGCAGTGCCCCTTATCTGTAATAGCTTCACTGCTCGCCCTCTCTAGATACATCATACTCTGATATGACACGCCCCTCTTCACTTATCCTTGTCAGCCTTTGAGATGAATAGTCTTTATCCCCACCAACGATTACCATTTCTTTACCGGAGTTCAAACGATTCAAATGGTTGCTGATGTGATAGAAGCCCTTCCTTAACATGCTTCTGTATCTGCTAGCAGAGGATCACTGGTCTCTCTATGTAGAAACCTAAATATACTTAACTATAAAGAGAAAAACGTTAGCAAACTGTACTTCGGTACTCTTCTGAATCTTCAAGAACATGTCAGGGTTCCTTTTAATGGAATCAAAGCAAGTGGCTTGGACTACCGTACACGGCAGCGAATTCCAAAACTTGACTGTTCGTAAAGAGTAAAAGGTCAGGCTAAAGTCCGTTCTGCTACATTATGTTTCTAGTTCCTAGGTGTTACACTAAGGTTTGTATTTGGACCGACCTTGAGTAGGTATTTAATGGGATGCTCATGAGTGTTCCAGATGCTATAAGCCATTAGGTCACTTCTAAGACGCTTATGCTTCAAGGAGTAAAGTTTCAGTGAACTGAGGCGCTATTCATAAGACTTGAATTCGGGATGGACTACATTACACTTGAAAGCAGTTTCGTCGTAAACTGTCCAACTTTTAGGTCGAGTGACTTCCTACTGAAGAATGAGCATATCATCTTCGTCTTAAACTTCTCTCGAAAGGTTAACGTCGCCAACCGAATCGCAATATACTTTCTGGCGAAGGTCATTTACATGAATTTAAATTGGGAGATTTCTCATTACTGAATACTGGAGGTCCCCACTAAGACATTTTGTGAGATCCATCTTGAGAATTTTATGTATAAAAATCCTCCTATGTACATGTTATTGATTTATTCTTCTTGACACTTTCAGATGTATATTGGGTTTAGCTTGTGATTCCATTTTACCTTGTGCTATGTATATATCTTGTAACTTTTGTTTTTCTTTCGTCTTTATCGATTTTACATGTTTTTCCAGAAGCACATTTATGGTGTTCCAGCTGATATTTAGTGATGGTGACTATCATGTTGATTCGCTCTTCTTAATGACAGTTGCAAGGAGAAAGAAAGGCAAAAATCCCTCCACAAGATTATATTAGACAGTATTGTTATTTGTCTGTTTCTTCGCCTGGTTATGTATTTTAGCCTTTATTTAACCCTCTTTTCAATCACCCATTACGATCTTAAACTTAGGAGGAAACTAATGTAACAAATTAGGTTGATTGGTTAAGAGTTGACCGCAAACATCTAAGCAGCTATCAGAACATTAAAGTTTGAGCATTCACTGAATTCCGTATTTTGTATATGGATTATATTTCCAATTATTACACATTGAATGTTGAAAAGCTTTGTGTATTTGAAACAGTAATCTCAGACTCCACTCCACCCCCCCTGTGATTTCAAAATAAGGACCTATTCATACCCGTCCGGTTTCTTCTATCTCACCTGCACGAAAACGCTAACGAATTACGTGATATAGCAACTCACGTGCAGTTGAGTTTGTTCACATTTAGTTCGGTTAAGTCATTTTGTTAACTTATTAACGAACTGAGTCATCTGTACAACAACAACTTATTCGTATCATTGTATCTTTATTATTGTTGCGAATGTATGAACATGTATGCTTGACCAATGCTTACTGCCTACGCCTTTATTCACGCTGCTAGCCTTACTACTAACCGCTTTATTGACTCGATGATTCGTTCATTTCACTAAGTATATATATATATATATATATATATATATATATATATATATATATATGCATGTTATTCATGTTCATTGCTCATCTGTACTCACTTACTCGCGCTTGTATTCACTGATTTACTCGATTGCTCGCTCACATGCATGCTTGCTTTTCGACACAACTTTTTCATGCTTGCTTGACGCACCTGTAATTCTGGATATCTGTATGTGGTCACATAATAAACGTAATCAACACTTCGTATTCGCCTTCTGATTAATACGCCGTTATGACGTTATCTAGTGACGGTTATCGGGAAGAGCTGTTTACGAAGTTTGAGGATTATATTGAATACCGACCACCACAATGCCAATCAGTCAGTAAAGAGTCTGTGTGATATAATTGTAATTTATCGGTTGTTACAACTCATTCAAAAACGGTGTCTCATACAAACGTTTGACCCCGGTGAATGCACGTCTGCTCCAAACTCCACAGTTGAGTATTACAAATGTAGTGCTTGAGAAGAAGAGAGTAGTAAAGGGTGACCAGAGCTAAAAACACTGGCTCGTCATCTAGAGCTAACAGTCCTCAATAGAACAACTCAAGCTTTAGCAGAAAGGAAAACCTGAAAATCTCTCCTCAACAGATGAATTATAGGACACAAATACAGAGATCGGTGAATTATAACAAAAAAACTGACCTCAAACGACGGGAACAATTCTGAAGAGCGTCGTGGGGTTGTAGCATTATGGTCTAGTTCGTTATTAGTACTGTTATAATAGGGTGATCTTATCCGCAACGCAACCATGTAAACTTAATGTATCGGTCATCTGTGCGTTCAAGTAACCACAGATTTTGTCATTTTATAATGTATTTTTAATTAAATAACTAGATTATATAGCTAATTTTGATCTTTTTTTATATTTTTATTCGCCACGTTCGACTGCGTTACACTGCACGTCCATTGCATGCTGGGATGATATCTCAAGTCATAGTGAGTTTATTCACATAGTTGATTGTTTCCAGATAGACTGTCAGTGCATGATTTTTACTGTAGAAAGGTTTATTGTACTATAAACTATGTTTTTATGAACAACTACCTGTTGTTTTCAGTCGGAAAGCAATATATATATTCTTTGTCTTCTGTTCGGTAAGTTCAATTGGCCTATATTTCGTGTTTTTGTTTTATCGTCTTAATTATGTCCATTTAACTACTTTATGCAATATGCCTGTGCAAATGAAACAATAACTATGACACTTGCTTAGTTTAGTATTCTTGGTTGTCGTATAATTCAGTTTAGTTGAAAGAATTATGGTATAGTGCTTGAAGTCTGTAACGAAACAGATCAGCCTAGTAAGTAGAGTTGCCTGTTTCTGATGAGTATACTGATTCAAATCAGTCTGATTAAAAATAGGAAAAAAGTGCTTTTGGTACTGTTGCTGTCATACATTATAAGATAGCGATAAGTATGTTTGGTGTTTATTTCTAGATTGTACATCTATCACTGACCATATTTCATGATCACTGTCATTAAACAATTTCCCCAGCAATAACATCGGTAGCAGGATAGCTAAGTGTCTGAGCTTTTATTTGCCCACAGAAGAGCAGTATACAGTCTTAGACGATGAGTAGTCTGTATCTCAATTAAATGCAGTTTGCTGTGGACAAATGTTAAGAATCTTTTTGGACTACTGTGACTTTTAGTTCATCAAACACTAACTCCGCTTGTATGTCTCCCTGTTAAACTAGACGCAGATACATGGTAATACTTAAATGAGAGCAAAATAATAAAAGCATTGAGATACGGTATTAAGTCCATGTTATATAACATGGACTTAATACCATATCTCAATGCTTTGCACAAGTAATAGCTGACCTGACCTAATATTCATGAACTAAAGGTAAATCACAACTGCATAAATTCTTTGCTAAAAAACATGTAATTTGGTTATTTATCTATTCCACATTTCTGACTAAATTCATTACTGTTTTCTCATTTAGTTTGCAACAGGACTGAGTCTTCACAGATCCTAAGAACTGTTTCGCCCTTAGAACTATGGCCCTATGGATATGTTTACGGGAGACCCAACTAACAGCAGATTATAAAAAGGAT